ATCAAAAGCTTTTTCTGCATCTGTTGAGATGATCATATGGTTTTTATTCTTCAGTTTGTTAATGTGGTGTATCACGTTGATTGATTTGTGGATATTGAAAAATCCCTGCATCCCTGGGATAAATCCCACTTGATCATGGTGTATAATCCTTTTAATGCATTGTTGGAGTTGATTTACTAGTATTTTGTTGAGGATTTTTGCATCTATGTTCATAAGTGACACTGGCCTGTAATTTTTTTGTGTGTGTGATATCTTTGTCTTGTTTTGGTATCAGGGTGATGATGGCTCATAGAATGAGTTTGGAAGTGTTCCTTCCTCTGCAATTTTTTTGGAAGAGTTTCAGAAGAAGGATAGGTGTTAACTCTTCTCTGAATGTTTGGTAGAATTCACCTGTGAAGCCATCTGGTCCTGGACTTTCATTTGTTGGCAGGTTTTTAATTACTGATTCAATTTCAATATTGGTAATTGGTCTATTCATATTGTCTACTTCTTCCAGGTTTAGTCTTGGCAAATTGTACCTTTCTAAGAAATTGCCCCTTTTTTCTACGTTGTCATTTTTGTTAGTGTATAGTTGCTCATAGTATCATCTTATGATTCCTTATATTTCTGTGGTGTTGGTTGTAACTTCTCCTTTTTCATTTCTAATTTTTATTAATTTGGGCCATTAATTTTTCTTGATGAGTCTGACTAAAGGTTTATCAATGTTATCTTTTCAAAGAACTAGCTTTTAGTTTCATTGATCTGTTGTATTGTTTTTTCAGTCTATTTCATTTATTTCGGCTCTAATCTTTATGATTTCTTTTCTTCTACTAACTCTGGGGTTTGTTCTTTCTCCAGCTGCTTTAGGTATAAGGTTAGGTTGTTTACTTGAGATTTTTCTTGTTTCCTGAGGTAGGTTTGTATAGCTATAGAATTCCTTCTTAGAACTGCTTTTGCTGCATCCCAGAGGTTTTGGGTGGTTGTGTTTTCGTTTTCATTTGTTTCAAAGTATTTTTTTATTTCCTCTTTGATTGCTTCTGTGATCCATTGGTTTTTTTAGTAGCATACTGTTTAGCCTCCATGTGTTTGCAGTTTTTGCAGTTTTTTTCTTGTAGTTAATTTCTAACCTTATAGTACTGTGGTTGGAAAAGTTCTTTGGTATGATTTCAATTTTCTTAAATTTGCTGAGGCTAGCTTTGTGGGCCAGCATGTGGTAGATTCTGGAAAATGTTCCATGTGCACCTGAGGAGACTGTGTATTTTGTTACTTTTGGGTAGAATGCTCTATAGATATCAGTAAAGTCCATCTGGCCCAATGTGTTATTTAGGGCCTCTATTTCTTTATTGATTTTCTGTCTGTATGATCTGTCCATTGATGTTAAGTGGGGTGTTGAGGTCCCCTGCTATTATTGTATTATTGTCGACTTCTCCTTTTATGTCTGTTAACAATTGCCTTATATATTGTGGTGCTCCTATGTTGGGTACATACATATTTACAATTGATCCTTTTCTTGGATTGATCCCTTAAATATTATGTAGTGTCCTTTGTCTCTTGTAATACTCTTTAAGTATTACTACTCTAGCTTTCTTTTGATTTCTGTTTGCATGGAATATCTTTTTCCATCCCCCTACTTTCAGCCCACGTGTATCTCTAGCTCTGAAGTGGGTCTCTTGTAGACAGCATATATATGGGTCTTGTTTTTATATCCATGCAGCCAGTCTATGTCTTTTGGTTGGAGCATTTAATCCACTTACATTTAAGGTAATTATTGATAGGTGTGTTTTTACTGACATTTTGTTGATTTGAGTTTGTTTTTTTAGGTCTTTTTCCCCCCTATTCTTTTTGTTTTCTTGTGCTTTGAGGAGTAGAGAAGGTCCTTTAACATTTGGTGTAAACCTGATTTGGAGGTGCTGAATTCTTTTAGCTTGTATCTGTGAAGTTTTTGATTTCTCCATCAAATCTGAACCAGAGCCTTGCTGGATAGAGTATTCTTGGTTATACGTTTTCCCCTTTCATCACTTTATTGTGCCACTCCCTTCTGGCCTGAAGAGTTTCTGTTGAAAAATCAGTTGATAACATCATGGGAGTTTCCTTGTGTGTTATTCGTTGCTTTTCTCTTGGTAATTTTAATATTTTCTCCTTATCCTTAATTTTTTTGTCAATTTGATTACTATGTGCCTTGGTATATTCCTCTTTGGGCTGATCCTGTCTGGGACCGTGCACTTCCTGGACTTGGGTGACTTTCCTTTCCGAAGTTAGGGAAGTTTTTGGTTATTATCTCTTCAAAAATTTTCTCAAGTCTTTTCTCTCTCTCTGCTTTCTGGGACCCTATGTGAATATTAGTGTGCTTCATGTTGTCCCAAAGTTCTCTTAAACTAT